TGAAATTAAAATTGTTAGGATGTCTAATAATTGTTATATGATAAATTTGATAAACTTAGGGCTACACTATATCGCACACGTTTAATGGTTGTAATTAGATGTCCTGACATTTTTAATGTCAGAACGTCTTGCTTTTTCTTTTTCTCATTTTTAATATAAGAAAATTTAATTTCATTCAATAATTTAAATTGTATAATTTAATACAATACTAACTATGCAATAGTTGCTCAAACTTTTATAAAGTACCAAAGAAATTTCAATTGCAACTTACATATGAGTGTAGTTATGACCATTAATAAAATTATTAGGTTAACCTCCCAATTTGGTTTTTGAATTATTATATAGACCCTCGATTTGGTTTCAATTGTTTAAGGATTTAGCCCCAAGTTGGTCCTTCTATATAAGAAACAGTTGACCCATCTGTTACTGAACAGTTATGTGCCATGTTAGTAACGAGATACATCAACTGTTTTTTATATGAAGGACCAATTTGTGACAAATTAATAAACAATAAAAATCAAATCAGGGGTCGATACAATAGTTCAAGAATCAAATAAAGGATTTTTTTTAGTTCAAAGATTAAATCAAGGTCTATACAATAGTTCAGAGATCAAATTAGAGATTTAACCAAATTAATTATTAAGGCTATGTTGATGACCACTTAAGATTTTTTTCAAAATAAATTGAAGAATCAAGTGTGAAATATACAAGAAAAAGGGAGTCATCACTCGTTCAAATTATAAGGTGAGATAAGTCACCTAAAACGGGTCTGCACAGAGATCGAGGTTCGAGGGTTCGATTAGGAGTGAAGAAGAGTATACGCGCACCTCACAATTCTCCGTTTAAACACGGTTGCATGCTTTAACATTGGGGGTTTTGATTCAACTTATTCATAATGTTTATGTTTGAGCCTTAATAAGCAAACTTGAAAAAGAGATAAACCGAATCGAAACATTTTTTATTTTTTGGACTGAAATGGACCAAATCAAAGACATACATGCACAATGACATGAACAAGAAGTTAAGGGACTAACTTGATCAAATTCAAAAATATGAAGGACTGATTTAAAAAGATTTGAAACTTTGGGATTGAATTGCTTAATCATAAAACTTATGGGTGAAATTGAGATAAAATAAAAGATAACTTTGACTTTGACCAAAATTAAGTTAATTAAAAATTAAAATTAATTAATCAAAATAATTAATCTAATTAAATAATTAACTTAACATTAATTAAAATTAACTAAAATTAATTAATCATTAATTGAGATAACTAAATAAATCTAATCATCTCAAATCAAACTCAATAAATATGATTAATTTATTTTAATTAAAATTAATTAACTTCATTAATCATAAATTAAACTAACCTTTTT